ATCAGATATCGTAGCGGGCCTACATGTTCCGTTCATAATATACATTAGGTATTATTTTCCATTAACATAATTTATTAACATGAATATGGTCGTTTAACCTGATTTGAATCTGCTAACCTCAAATCGAATAGTAATCAAATCAATCTTGGGTTCGCCAGCTTTAAGAAGAATGTACGATAACAATTTTAGAGTCTATTTGGGGCAGCTACAGCTTATTAAGAAACTGTTGTAAAACTGTTGAAGAATAATCTGACGTTGCAAAAAGCTGCAGTGGCTATTGCAATTTTTTTATTAAAGTCGGATCGTAGCAAGAAAGATGCGACTGCACCTAGCCAGAACCAGCGATAAAATGTTAATTTCAGCGTCATATTTTTGAGAAGCTGCCAAAACACAATTTATCCAAATGGGCAAAACTGCAATGTGGTGCATCGCAGCCACCGCACTGCTGCCCCAAACAGTTTAAACCGTGTCAAAATTCTAGCAATGCTTAAGAAACTGTTGCCCGTACTTAATGCCACAAAACCCTATAGCAATAGATATAAAACCGCCGCTATATCTCCAAGCTACAACGTCATATTTAAGACTATTGTATATACATCCAACTCAAATAACAATCGGGTTATAAAATTAACACGAACCCAAATGATCGAGTAATTGGGTCCCAAGCTCGTATTCTTTGAGTTGAGTTCTACACTAAGTGTCATGTTAGGTCAGTTTGTTGACACCCCACATATATATTTGACTATAATTTATTTTTAAGTAGTTGATAATCTATCAATATCAATCAAATAATTTTATTTTTGACTCAAATAGAAATTAGGAATTCATGGGCGACTAAAATTAAGATTGGATTGAGACAGTTAGGCCTATCAGAATGTTTTGTTCAACTATCATACAACAAATCATTGTATATTTGGGAGAAAAAAATAAAAATTATTATGAACATTAATCATAAATTAAAAGGATTCAATTTAAGAAATTTCTTATAAAATATCATATAAGTAGTACTTAATATGAGACCTTCAAGTTTATATTGATATATTTTTTCATGAAAATAATTTGTTGGTGTTATTTCATTGTGTTCATTCATAGTCACAGTCACTCCTCCTTTCTTAGAAACATAGTGAATTGGATAACCTCTGCACTATATGAATTATGGTAGATGATTCCAACATCTAACCATTTTAAAAAATTGCAATAGCCATCCACTTTTCAATTTCTCACACAAATATAAAAATTTATGGTAAAATCGTAATCCGGTATTGTTTCATTTTTATCAAATTCTCAATAGTTTGATCGTGGCAACTATAAATACATTAATTTAATCATTCAAAAAGATTATTTAAATGATTAATTTGTAAATATTAATTTTTACGGTGCGTTGTATGCAATTATCCAAAAAAAAAAAAAAAAATACACGAGGTACCTACTTCAGCTATGTTTGACTTTAGCTTTTATATATATA